GGCCTCTGACCTAGTGTATATGGTGAATTCTTCCAAGGGAGAGACATGGAGTGAACGTTGCGTGGGCTCCACTCTTACCAGACGCCCGAAATATCCCACGAAGCCCTTTAATCATTTGCGTTCTCAAATTAGCCTCTGATGCTTGCCATTAGAATAACCATGAAGATAGTCAAGACCAGGGTACTGATGGAGACCCTAATAAGACTCCTATAGATGATTACTGGGGAACTTTTTGATCTCCGATCTTTAGCGTTTCTCTCACTTAGAAGTCAGCCTTTTTTACTTCAGTGCCGGGAGAGTTAGTGCAGTTTGGTAGACCAGAATCCGAGTCAGTTTGACTTCAATTCCTAGTACGAATATCACATGATTGTCTTACGTCTGACTGTCAACAAATAGGAGCTGGCACCACATTTGGTGAGAGGCTTGAGAACCCTCCGGAAAAGTCAACGCTCTCTGACCTGATGACTAATTTGCTGTCAAGACTTAGGGAAAGAGAATAGTCGTATGGATGGTTAACAAAAATGAGATGAAACTGCGACTAAGCGGGAAACACTTCAGGAGTATTCTCTCCACGAAAAAGTCGGTCCTCGCAACATTCGCTTATTTCGACACACATCCACGTTACCGTATCCATGAATGTGTTTCTTCCAGACCTATTGGAAGAGAAGGAATCAAAATAGAATGACTCGGCTTCTATACGATGCATTTGTCGTTACGGTACACGCTTGAAGCTGTACGGTGGCCTTATCTTGCCCTTCCACCCACGTCGTGCGGTTGAAAGGTCAAGAACGGCCAGAATAACGAACTGAGGAACGAATGGAACCTAGAACTCGACCAGAGTGTGGTCGGTGTCCAGGACGGCATGAAAGACCCCACATGAACTGCATCAAAGTGCAACATTGGAAACTGGTAAGAGGCGATCCAACAGGTGGCGGTCGCAGAGCGCATTTCTCGCCAAAAAAAAAAGTATAAAACTAAAACAAGTGGAGCACGTAAGTCAATGAGCAAACTTGACAAAATAACAAAAACAAAGTAAAGAAGAGTAAAAGATGGCTTGTTTCGCCTCTTTACCAGATGAACCATCCACCTTCCCCTGAAACTCATCAGTGGTTTGGGATTAGTTGACAAAGAGAATGGGTAAATACCGAGTGTAAAATAGTTGAATCAGGGATATACGTGACTAAAGAGTTACATTATTGGTGATGTTTGTCACTGAATACCTTCATAATGCGATTTACAACTCTGGCAATGTTCTTGAAAAGAGCTTCGGTAAAAAACTTGCGGCATATAAACCTACAACTATATGTGCATCTAACTATGCAAGTGAATATGTATTCCTCTTTGAATCTACTTCTAAGAAAAAAATTCCATCATTTCCGTCATCTTTGCGGTAAACACTTCAGACAATAAACAAAGAAAAAAAGGGAACAAAAACAAAACAAATGAACAAAACATTAGAATAACAGTTCTTTTTCCTGTGCTCCAAAAATGGATACAATGATAAGGAGAGCAAATAAAAACGAAGATGTTTGGATTGCAGAACGTGAAAATCTGACACAACTCCTATAGTTAGAAAGTAAAACAGCAGAAAACAAATCCTTTCAACTATGAATGTAAAGAACCCATTTGACTCTATAATGAAAAATCGGCGAGTGGGGATCATCAGGAAAACCTTTAAGCGGCGACAGGATATTCCCGCTATCGGTTGTCACAGCTTGGGCAGTATGGTGGACCATAATAGGCAGGGTGACGGAAACTTTTGTACCATCGTACCTAACTGGGTTCATGAATGAAGGAACCCTCTTATCGTTTTTACAAGCGTGAAAGGTTATTAGCTGATGAGAATAGCGACAGTAAGAAGAGTAGAAGTAAAAAAGTTGAGCTCCTATAGAAGATAGGTTCCTGGACTGGAAAAGTTACAAAATTATTGGTTTGAAGTGCTTTATTCTCGTGCAGAATAGATAATTTCAATATAGCCTGTGTTCTACACACAGACACATTCTACTGTTTTCAGGAACTCACAAGGTGCCCTCCGGCTCAAAATTATTCAGTAGTCCATGGTCCATGTTTTTTTTTTCATAATACAGGGACATAAACCGGAAATACATTGTGTTCGTCTACTATGCACAAAAAAANAAAAAAACTCTAGAAACCAGTGATGTTGAAACTTTTCCTGTTTATAAACTGAACTTTTATAGGAGCTCCACTTTCTCACTGTCGTTATTTTTATCAGTAAGTAATCGTTCAGCTCGGTTTATTACAATATGCAGGCAGTATAATGACCCTGGAGTCTTGGTACTTGGTTGAGATTCCCACATCCAGATGGATTACGCCCATCGCCTAGTGCCCATCCCCGGCTGCCAGCCAGAGAGTATAAACGCAGCTATCGTGGACGCTGGAATTCGCTCCCCGAATTTAGCCTGTGACAGTTCTGGGCAAAAAATGGGCACAATTCGAGACATGGACATTGTATTGATGTCAGCAAAATACATCTCATGAATGCTCTCCTCATTTGAAAGATTCACCTCTCCTCGCTAACCATTCCAGTGCATATTATCCATTTCTAAGTGAAGTCGTAATACCTCTTGAATTTGTTCTAGGGCAAAACAAACCGATGGGCAGGCAAGCATTCTCGTGCGCCCTCCCCGTCGAGCCCGCGATCGAATAACTGAACTCACATGCATGGTATGATATGTAGTTTTTTCCTCAGCTTTGGAAGGGGAGAAGCACCGGAGTGGGTGAGATGATTACCTCGGACAAAAAGCTGGGATGGGGAAAGAACAGGAACACTCAATTGACCATCCACCCGGCGCTCCTTCCCTCTTAATATCAGTCAAAAAAATAGTTCTCTTGGATGAAAACTAAGCACCACGATCGGCTCGCGAAGTCGGCTACTCCTCTGTTCTTCTCTGCGCTCTAGCGCTCGATGCTACAGGAATGCCCCCTGCCCAACTACATTTTCACCGTGAAAGCAGAGTGAAAACCGATTGCTGTAGGGTAACTTCCTCATTTTGAATAAAAAGGTAGAGAACAAGGGCCAGTAATGTCGAAAGGAGAGAAGAAACATTGCGCTGGAACACTGGCTTGAACTCGTCTAATACATTAGATGGCCCTTCACCTATTAACAAACTCCAGAAAAGTTACAACAACAATAAGCATAATTTATACAGAATTGCTGAGGCAAATACAACAGGCAGAGTGAAACGTGAATAAGTTTTTGCAATTTAAGTCAAGCTAGCTATGGAACATGCATGGTCATCAATTGCATATACGTGAACAAATCTCGAAATTCTACTGATCTCGATCGTTAATCGCCACTAATGATCAACAATATGGTACTATGTAAGAACTTTAAATACGATACATCGAGAACTCGAAAGAATACCCGTAAGCACCGGCAGTTGTAATGCCTTTGTTCTCGACAGCCGTTTTCGTAGCTTCCATTTCGGCTTATGCTACAGGATCAAAAAGTAGGAAAGCATAGAGCTTTACGTAAGGTCGAGTTGTTTGAGCAGCTCTTCCATCCTCTTCTTCTGCGATTTCTATTAATATGATGTATGATTTTTACAATTCACATCCTTCTAGTGGGCGACTGGAGGGTAACACCTTTGAACTTCAATAACCAGAAGGTGAAGAGGAGGAGAAGACGAGAACAAAAACCCAACCCTAGCGCGGAGTGAAATTTGACAGCACATCAATGATATTTGTCATGGAAAATACAAAATAAGTCGGCAAAAAGTCATCTCACCAAGATATGCAAAACCAGTGTTTTCAACAAAATAAAGAAGCCGAAGGAACAGAAAAAAAACACATTGATATTGACATAACAGTCATTCTGAACACCGTGCGTAAGGTACCAGCGAGTGAATGCGATGTGAAAGCATATGTGAGAGGTTATAAAAACGATCGGCTGCTGTCATAGTCCGCGATTCGGCCCGCGAGGGAGCGAGCGACCGGGGTCGCCGCTTCTTTACTACTGAATCTTGGTCGATACCGCAGGACGAGTAGTCATCCGGTCGCTCGCTCGCTCGGGGGCCGAATTGCGGACTATGAAAGCAGCCATCTGCTTACTAGGCAGAAGGACACAGAAACAAGCTGCCTTAATCGAACAGTTTACGGCAGGAAACTCAGTTAACAATGTACGGCAAATAATCACTGGAACGGATCATCACAATGGGGCAGCGAAACAAAACGACCTTTAATCACAGCCCACTTTGAGCACTTGAAGAGCAAATGGAACAATATTTAAGTAAACAGCTTGAAAACAATTGAACTGAACAAAGGGAATTGTAAACGTGGCGCTCGTAATAGCAGACGGATTCAGCGTCAGGTGGACAAAGAAGGAAATTCGCGCTAGTTGAGCAGCAGGCTGCAAGTGTGAACCGTTCCGGTTCGTTGAGCAGCCTAGTTGACTTGAGGACACTTTCTTTTTGGGGTTAAAGGACAGGAGTGCTCATGCAGATTAGACCGCTGGTGGAAGCTAGATATTCGCGTACATCAGCTGGCTGCTTTACAACAAATGTTCTATTTCGAGTGATATCAGCCTCTACAAGGGAACTGAGCACGCATTTTATGGGAGTACGGCGCAGCTGTTGACGACAAGAGCGACTTTTTAACCCTTTTCCGTCCTGCTTAGGCCGCTTTTCGACCATGCAGTGATGTCTCTGCTTTGGCCATAAGCTCCTAACAACTAAAAATACCAAAACCATTCTCATCGCNATCTATGTCTTCAAAGTATCAGATACAATATCATGGACTGTATTTTCATATTCAAGGAAAACCCAATGAGACTGGCGTGGTCTCATTTCTATGAGAAATGTTCGAGAGAAATTGGATTCCATGCATTATTCTCGATCTCATTTAAGAGCAACCGTTCGACTCGCATTCCCTCAGTGGGGAATCCATTATTCCAAACATCAATTCTCCCATTCCTCCGTACTGTGGAACCTTCTTACTATAACGAGCACCTTTGGCAACAAACAAAAACTTATAAAAGCTGTTCAAATGTGCTTGACAGCGTGGAAGAACCAGTTCGTCTTTGTTGCCCACGAGCCATTGAAAGCTTCATCGAATATCTCTGCGAAGAAAGCTCTTGCTTCTGTCATCATACCATCATGAAATGCTACTCGTAGGGTGCTCTAAAAAACGTTTCGATGAAAAAAAAGGCAAGAAAACGAAAAGAAAAAACTTAAGGAATGCTAGCAATAACGACTGGTTTCAATTGCTCCCTTAATAAGAAACACTTCCAATTTTGTATGCGATAGGAAGAGGAACTACTCCCACTTTTACATGCGGGAGGGAGAGAACCTATAAATCATTTGTCGAGAAATATTAGCTGAGCGCGTATTCTCGATTCAACAGTTTTTATCCCAACTTGAAGAAATATAAGCAACGGGCAAATACTTGTCAATTTTCCACATCAGATAACGCTTTTACAAGCCCCATATAGAAACTCCTACGCATTTCACCAAAAAACAAATAAGCAAACCTTCAGGTGGTCTAAATCGGCTTCAGTTGATAGTTCCGGCAACTCCATCGATTGCATAACAGCAAACAGAGATAGAAATAGATCGCGTTCCTCCCATAACATCATGTATGCGTCACAGCAAAGTTTTTTGAATCTGAAGTACTCTACACTACTCCGCTGAGTTAGTAACTTTCTTTTTTTTTATCTTATTGACTTATCTTGAACTAGGTTAGAGCAAAAAGTAAGAGACTTCGATCACAAATATGAGGTCGTTTGCTCTTTGCCGACAAAGAATCTTGTTAGCGAATGAGCGAATGTTTACTTCGATGTAGGCTCTCTAATTTAAGCTCATGAAATGAGCTCACAATTGTGGTGAGAATGGGAAGGACTGAAGATGAAGAGGACAATGATTTTAAAGTTATATAGTGCAGATTAGGAGGGCAATGAATGTAAAGTTGTGTTAACTAAGAGATCGAATTCGGTTCAAATCCAGTACGTCACCGTCTGTCGACACAGAGATTCGGTGGCTTCGGTTTTTGGAGCACTAGGTGATTCAAAATCCTTTCGATATGAATAAACTGCCGACAAAGTATCTCTTGCCCAGTGTTGTGCGCTCTTCCTTCCAAGAGTGGTCTTGACTTCAACTGAGTGATTCATACTATGAGATGAAATTGTATCTTTCAAAAGCCAAAAACAGTCATGAGCAGTTCACAATCACTACGTTTTAGCGAAGCAAGGGCAATAATTCCGTAACTGCTGTTAAAACTAATCTAGAAATTGGATACCATTAATCACACTATAAAGTCACGTTCCAAGTACTCACTTTGTAACTTCGTGACTGTCCTTCGAGACCGGTCTACCTTGACCAATGACACACAGAAAGTGCTCTGTAAGAACGAAAGGCACACGATCACGTCGAATTCCGAGCTTTGTTTTTCCATGACCCAAAATGTGTCCGAAGTCAATATGGAATATTTTTCCATCGTGAGTCATCATTATGTTGTCGTTGTGCCGATCCTGTGAATCATTGGAAAAAACAATATGAAGAAGTGGAAGGCGAAGAATTTCGTTTTCATATATCTGTCTCATTCGTGAAAAGCAGAAAGTAGACGAGTAGGCTGTCTCCGAAAAGTTTGAATAATCTTTCTAAACTCAGGCAACCAACCATGATTCCCATAATGAAGGTTCCGACCGAATAACCAACACAAGACATCAAAAATCTGTCAACACACTCCATATACCTAAAAAGTTTCAACTGAGAACAAATTCAAAACACAAACAACAAAACAAACAATGAAAGGAAAAAAAGCACAATAGGAGTAGTACGAAAATGTGAAGCAAGGAAAACACACTTTCTCGTAGAGCCAGCATTATTCTTGATATAACGATTGATGAATGTTGTTTCCAACGATTTAACTGCCGTTCCAACTTTTCCACCATCGGATTGTATTTCGAAGATCGTTGAACAATTTGGAACAACCCCAATCATGCCATACTGAAATCGTTTTGTTTTTGTTCTTCTACAATCAAACACAAAAATAAAAACAATCCTGCTGTTCGCAATATTAGAATGCTTCACATTATCCACATGCCCATGCATATACTGTTTCAAAAGAGCAAAAACGAAAAGAAAAAATCGAAAATATGAATCTCGATAAAAGAATACTTGGGCTAATGTTGTGACAAAAATAAATGCAACTTTTGATAACAGATGAAACGACTACAGCAATGTTAAGATAAGATAGTAAAGCTGGCAGATAGAAGTATACGTCTCTGCTCAACTGGAGCACAATTACGTTAACTTCATTGATATAAGTGCTTACTAATTCAGACACAGAATGCAAAAGTGAAAAGAATAGAAGCATTTGGCCCCTACAATAAAGTCTAGGGAATAACAAAAGCTCCAATATCAGCAGCATTTGATGCATGAGAAAAGTTATGAAAAAAGAGGTACCTTGGTGCCCATAGGAAGAACAGGATAGGTACTCAAACAACAATCGAGTTGATTTCTTTTCCAAATGCTATCCATCAATTCAAGCATTTGTACCACTAACATATCCTGGCGCAGATCTGAAAGCAACAAACAATGTCTCTGGGAATGCTAAGAGGGATTATTCTTTTAGGAAACTTACCGTCCCCATTTTTGAAAATTATCTCATAGGTCGGGAGGTAATGCTCTGACAGAGGACTTCGATTCTGCCAAGAAAGCAACAGAGGCATCTTCGCGCTCCCCAATACTCGGCATTTGTCGATCCTAAACGGTAGGAAAAAAGATTTTCGTGCGTTTTATATTCGTCTCTGTTGAAGATGTCCCATCTAAAAAAGCGTGTTCAGCCAAAACTGGTTTTAAAACGTGTAGGTATATATCATAAAACGGATTAAGATGATAAAGACTAAAAAACCGGGTAGCGCCATCGCAAAGCCAATTTGAAAATAATATATGATCAATCTAACTATAATATACAACAAAATATTTTATCGCGACTAACCTCAAGTGTCCCAGTGCATTACTAGGATCAAGAGGAGAGTCAATCTTCTCCAAGGTTGGGCAATTGTTCCGTAATTCCTCACGAAGGCGCTGTAATTGTAATTTGAAGAGAAACTCTTACAAATATGATCGCCTGTTGACATAATTATTACAAGTGCACGGCTTATGTTTTTTTNTTTTTTTCAAAACATCTATTCGGATGAAGAAGTGGCTATATGACATCGTAACAGATTGGGGCTAATTGTAAGTAGCTTGGTCAATGACGTGGGTCTGTTTATGCATCTTACCCAACCTCCTCTCTCTAGTTTTTAGCATGTTCTGCGAGCAAGACTTCCTTCATGGCTGCACCAGCAGAAGGAGACAGAAGATGAACGATCAGGTTAGGTCAGAATAAACCAAAATTTACAGTAGCTCAGCCAAAATTTAGCTGGGCCAAAAATCAGAAGTAAATACTACTTACAATTAGTTACTGAACACCTACCTCTGTCGCTGCATCTTTTTCGCGGATTCCCTTGACAAGAAGGCTCAATCTATGCAAATAATCAACCATTTCCACCTACAGTAAGCATAACTTGGCCTTCCACAGAAAAAAAGGAATCTCAGTTTGCAGCGCTTACCTGTTTCACAACTGTTCGGATATGCTCATCATTACCACGCAAGTAAGCTTCAATAATTAAAGCAAACCGCTTATACATTTCACTTATGTTGCCATCCGCGTCTCTAAACATGAAAAGCTAGCTTGACGAATAATAGAAGAGGGATAAAATATCCACGAGCCTTAATTGAAAAAAAAAACGAAAAATGTTGTAACTCATTTTTTGTATCTTCACGGTTAGGCATTGAGGGCATTACAAAACACAATTTGTTAGCGAAATCAATCCCTTATGGACAATCAAAATGCGCATGAATACAGGGGCATTTGAGGAGTTGAAACTGCCTGCAGGCGTAGAAACAGCATTGTAATGGATTACGGGCTTTATGGTCCATTGCATCTTCACAAGGTACCCATCTTAGGATCTGTCTTTTCAAAAAATGTGAAGTTTATGGCACAAAATATAAAATATTTGAAGAAAATTCTGAGAAATGGCTAGAACGAGCGTGCTGCCGGAAACTATGTGCTGCCAATCGGCAATTTAGCAACTCTCATGACCCACTAGATGCTCCCTCCGCTGATCAGAAATTTATTAGGTAGAGAAAAGAGATCTGTTGAGGAAGATAATTCTGCTTTCCAGCAGCATCATGTTGCGCCCTCCCTCTCTGCTCATTTCTTTGCTTCCTTGATGTCGTTGAAAAATAGACAGTCTAAGCAAATGAATGAAGTTAGAGATCGAAACATAAACTGGGATAACTCACTTGAGATTCGCTAGTTCGGCTCGAAGTAGCCAAAACAACTTGTGCCCGATGCGATAATCAGAGAGAGCCTTTTTCAAAAGCAAACACGACAACGGATTATAGGACCATGCCTCGCATTTCAGCGCCTTCAAAAAAACGGACGTCTCAGATTAAACTACAACATAGACCGGTCAAATACAACTCGCGTACTTGAATGAATGGAAGAATGAACAAGGGAAACGATTGGTTGTCCAACATGATGTCTAACTGTGAAACCGCAAAACGACGAATGATTGGGTCCATGCATCTGCAAAATTACCCGCTCTTCAAAACGATTACCCCCTACTTTTACTCCTTGGTATGCTTCGTCTTCAAAGCCTAATTGAAAAGCCTCTAGCTCAAAACAAGCTAACTAAGCAGATTCCAAGAAACGAAGAGGAACCTTGTAGACCACCTAAACTAAAGAAAGAAAATATACGAATAACAAGAAGCGGTGTGAAGTTGCTTACTTCTTGCTTAGAATGCGGAACGCTGTTCCCACAGTTAGTCGGCCCCAGCTCTCGAGCATCACATAGATCTCAGTAAAGTGTTCACGTTTTCTCCATGTCACTTCCGCTTCCGCAATCACGAGAAGAGCATCTGGCAGGTGCTCGCTCACGTAATGTCTATAATGAGATCAATCATGCGATTTTAGAAGAGAGTGTACGCTGAAAATTCTTCATCAAAAAGTAAATAAACCTAATAATGAGTAAAAACATAATCCGAACTTATGACTCGAAAACGAGAGCTTTTTTTCTACGTCTAGGAGTTTTAGGAAAACACACACGGTCAGATTTTTGCCCATTCTCACTTTGAAAGTTAGACAATTTTGCAGGCATACGGAAACATTGGCGACTCGAAAACATAGGACGGATTCAGATTGACGCGAGCATCGCATTGGCAAGAGCTACCTCCAAATCTTCAAGGAATTCGAAATTCGCAAAAGTACAATTGCACCAAAAATAGTCCCAAAGCGTAATGGAAAAAGGAGACGGAAATCAGTTTTTGTTGAGGCCAACGGAGTTCAGAAATAAATACCTCAAAATGGAACTGGAAATAAGCGTCCATGTTCGACTCTCGATAAATCTTGGCATAGCTTTGCATTTATTTTATAAGATTTTAATAAAACCTGCTGCCAAGATGGTAAATAAATTCTTATCAACTTACGTTTCGGCGTT